CGGTTCACTTCAGAACGGATCATTACCGGCTTGAAACCGGGTGAAACTGGGTAATGTGAAATTCCCCTCTGTTTTACTGTATCTGAAGAAATGTGCTTGCACATGAAAACTTATACCTTGAATAAAACTTTGTTGGTCTTAAAGGTGCCACTGGACTCAAACTTTGTTCTGCTGCTTCAGACCAACATGGCTACCCTCCTGAATCTAAGAGGATCCGATGGTTAGGGTTGCCAAGTGGCCTGGAGACAAATGGCCTATAGAGACTTAATAGGATGTTATTTACTTCTATGCCATGAGAAGTTTTAATTGCCCTTTTCCCGGCATTGAGTCTTGGCTAAAGGGCAGGATGTTTTTTCTCCAGACCACCTGGTAACCCTAAACATAGTGGAAGGGAATCAGAAGATCCAACCCATGGTATGTATTACATCTAGAGCCAGCAGATTGTAACCTGCTGGTCCTTTATAATGCAAACAGCCATCTGGAACGTTAGCATGGGTCAGTGTGAAGTTGCAGTTCACCATATTGGATGAAGTTAAGCATGCACGCAGAAATAATGGGTGGGATACTAAGATGCCATTCTACCAGCATAACAGCAGTTATATTGGCAGAACATTTAAGTTGGTGGAAGAGGGGAGAGCAAATACTGCTGATTTCCTCCCTCTCTCTGCTGATAGCCACTTTGAGGGTCACTTGACCAAAGCAGAATTTCAGGACTGTGGGAGAAGATGTTGCTCGGCCACTTTCACAATTTTGGCAGTACTGATAGTGACTCAGGGGTAGCCAAATTTGCTTAATGTAAGAGCCACATAGAATAAATGTCAGATGTTTGAGAGACATAAGACATGAACAAATATTACACGTTTTTACTGGGAAATATGCAGATTTGCTTTTTATTAACATTAAATGAGACTGCCAAAAATAATAACAAAAGCGGCAAAAGCAGGTATTGATAATTATATTTATTTGTCCAATGATATTTGTTTGCTAATGATAGGCCGCGGTCACACGGAACATTAGGCACGCTAGAGAGACGGAAGATAGGTGGATTTTCTGGGCGCGATCTCACCACCACATCTGGGAAGCGTAGAGCTCCCGTAGCTCACCCGAGGCTTCACTCCGAAGATGCGCTGTAAAAACCGCGGAAACCGCGGGGCAAGGGCGGGCGTCAGATCATGTTTCCGGTGTTAGCTTGTGGCATCCGGTGCCCGCCCATGTCCCGTCGCGAAAAAAATTTTTTTTGTTAAGTCTCCACGGGTGCGCGCAAGCACCCAACGGCGCATGTGAACACTTGGGTTAAAAACAACAACACAACCCCCGCGGCGCCGCTTCTTTGCCATGCCGCAGGAGTGAGGTATGATCGGCACCTCCCCCCAACCACGGGACGTCGGGTGGGACGTTTGATCTGGCTGCCGCACGGTAGTTCGCTCCGGGGCAAACAGCCACGCCTCCCCCCCGCGATATCCGGCCCGTGTGACTGGGGCCATTTTTAGCTTCTCCAGCTGCCCTGCCGGGAGCTGCACAATATGTGTGAAAGAGCTGCATGTGGCTCCTGAGCCACAGTATGGCCACCCCTGGTCTAACTCATCGTCTGTAATGCTGAAGGCTTAAAATGCAATGAATAAAAAGTGTGATATGTTATAGTCAAACTGTTCTTGTGTTAAAGAGTAGTTTTGAAACATCATGTTCCAATGGATTTAATGAGCCAGGTGTTCTCCTCAAAGAGTGATTCTGTTGGAAGGATACACAGACTATGCCATCATACCTGCTATTTAAGTGATCCTGTTTTTAGTTGCACGCTCTTCTCTCATATCCTTTACATTTATTTTAAAACAAATGTTTGTTTAGGTGACATAGTGGTGGAATCCCTATTAATAAAGCTATATTTAGAAAAAGATTGGACAGAGCTTTGGAAACTGTTCTGAGCGGGCATATCCAGTACTTACAGGTCAATACCAATTACCTCATAATTATTCTTCCTGTCTAGGTTTTAATGATTCATATTGAATGAAAATCTATTACTAAAAATAGATTTTTTTCCTTTACAGATTTATGGCACTAAGTTTTGGGTTACTTCAAGTGGATGAGTTTTTCAGTGTGGCTCTAGTGCTTCATAAAAATATTTTTCTATAGTTAGGCTACTATAAAAATATTAATCAAAGATTACTTTAAACCAAGTAAACATTGCATTAAAGAAACAGGCAGTTGTTGTCATTATATTGATAAGACACTTGGATCTGATGCCAATGAAATTTTGTGTAGGTTGCCATGGTCCCCCAGTGGTATTTTATGATGTTCAGCTGGAGATTTGAACCTGGGTCTTTCTGGTCTTAGTCCTGAATTCTAACAATTGTTCTTCATTGATTTCAATATGAAATTTGTCAGGAGTTCAGAACTGATCAGGAATTCAATTCTTCGAAAGACTTTGGGATCTTATATCTTTGATATCTTATCATAGCCACCTGTGACCCCCATCTGTTGATACCTAAATCCACAGATTGGGCCACACAGAGGCTAACGATATATATATATATATATATATTGCACACTTTGGGGGACTCCCCAGGTATGCAGAAAAATCTGACCTTAAAAAAACAACAGTGAGGGTTTAAATTCCCCCTAATAATAAAAAACCTGATGGCCCCCGGCAGGTTAGGTGTGGTACTGGGCCCAGTGTCGGAGGCACAGCAGCCCGGGAGCCGCACTGTGTCCAGTGGCAGTAGCCTGGGAGCCATGCTTTGCCCTATGGTGGTGTGGCAGCCCAGAAGCCAGGCTGGGCCCGGTGGTGGAGGTGTGGCAGCCTGGGGGCCATGCCGGGCCCAGTTGCAGAGGTGAGGCAGCCATGGAGCTGCGCTGGACCCAGTGGCACTGTGGCATGGCAGCCCGGGAGATGCAGCAGATGGAGGGGATGTGATTCCCCCTTCTGCAACTTCTTCCACCCTCCCCTCTAAGCCGGCAGCCTACTGCTGGCCTGCTGGAAGGTAGGTGGGGAAAGCAGCAAGGGTGTGGGGGGGGGTGAGTGGGAAGGGTAGGGGGTAGTGGAGTGCCAAGGGTGGGGGGTAGGGGGGAAGTGAGCAAGGGTGGGGGGCGTGAGTGAATGCCAAGGATGGGGGGTGAGTGAATGCCAGTGGTGGTGGTAGGTTAGTGGAGTGCCAAAGGTGTGTGTGGGGGGTAGATGTGAAGAGAGCAAGGGTGGGGGTGAATGCAGGCAGAGGATCATAGAATCATAGAGTTGGAAGGGACCTCCAGGGTTATCTAGTCCAACCCCCGGCACAATGCAGGAAATTCACAGATACCCTCCCACACCCCCAGTGACCCCTGTTCCATGCCCAGAAGACGACAAAAAACCTCCAGGATCTCTGGCCAAACTAGCTTGGAGAAAAATTGCTTCCTGACCCCAAAGTGGCAATCAGCATTTCCCTGGGTGTATAAGAAAGGACCACAAGAACTAAGCACTGATGCAACCCTTCCTGCCCTCCCTCTCATGTTCTGCCTAGGTTCACAGAATCAGCATTGCTGTCAGATGGCCATCTAGCCTCTGTTTAAAAACCTCCAAAGAAGGAGAGCCCACCACCTCCCAAGGAAGCCTGTTCCACTGAGGAATGGCTCTAACTGTCAGGAAGTTCTTCCTAATGTTTAGCTGAAAAATCCTCTGATTTAATTTCAAACCGTTGGTTCTGGTCCGACCTTCTGGGGCAACAGAAAACAACTCCACACCATCCTCCATATGACACCTCTGAGTCATCTCTCCAGATTAAACATACGCAGCTCCTTCAACCTTTCCTCATAGGACTTGGTCTCCAGACCCCCCACCATCTTTGTTGCCTTCCTCTGGACACGTTCCAGCTTGTCTGTATCGTTCTTAAATTGTGGTGCCCAAAACTGAACACAGTACTCTAGGTGAGGTCTAACCAGACTAGAGTAAAACGATACCATTGCTTCACATGATCTGGACACTATACTTCTGTTCAGGGCTTCTTCTTTTTTATTATTTTAAAAGAGGTGCGGGAACTCTTTTTTTCAATCTGTATTCTGAAAACTCATGAACTTTTAAACATTTTAAAAAGAATTTTGTCGAAGAGGAGTGGGAGAAAGATTGTTAAGAGGAGGAGGAAAAGGGAAGGAAGCAAACAAGGGAAAATTTCTTGCGGGTACCCACTTTTCCCTCTATAATTTTTTCAGAAAAAGATTCTATTGGCATGTTTGAAAAGACTACCAGAAATGATGGATCTATTTATGCAATATCTCACCTCTCTTACAAGAAGTTCAAATATGTGTGTGAAATTTAGCGGCTGTCAACATGCATGTGTGCATATCCAGAAATTCTGAGATAGACCATGACACCTAAATGAGATTGTCAGAATTCACCATCATATGTCTGACAAGCAGTATCATATACGGGTGAAAGCTCGCATCACAAAAGCTGTCTGAGATTGGTGCCTTTTATAGGTGAATGTCACTGGTCACTGCATTTCACCATAACTACGTTCACAAACAAAATTTAATTGATCTTCCAGTTAAACGAAATAAATTTGTAACCCTAAAGATGGAAAATAAATGAAGTAAGTAAATCAAATGTATTTTTTTTAAAGGAAAAATATCTTCACTACAAAACAAATCATGGGTAGGCTACTTTGGATAAAAAGAAATAAAACACAAGATTACATGCTTACAGTTACTTTCAGTACTACTTGCTAACGGCTACATCTTTCTATCTAACGAGCGGCTTCAAGAGAGCGCTTCCTGTGTGCTTCACACAAAGGGCCATAAAGCTTGTGAATACATTAATGCTAGATCAAAGCATTTCCACAAACAAGTTGTTAGTTGACCAATACAAAGGCTACAGGTCACTTCATTAGGCTAAGGAACTCCCGTAAAGGGATTTTTTGTGCTTTGTTTTTCATGTAATTATAGATTTTGTATTGGACTAAATATTGAAATAACAACCATGCAAAAATGAGAGTTGTGTTCTTCATCTACTTCTCGTTGTTATTATTTTGAAGAATGCAGAAGGTGAGGTTCCAGGTACGCAAGAAGATGAAACTGGAAATGTTACAGAACTGGAGCAGTGGAAGGTAAGCTCTCGAGGTCTTTATACAGTTTTGAGATACCAGCATGGACTCTGTTCATAGACTATATGAGGAGAGCAATTGCTGTGCATTTAAAATCTTACAAGCTACTAAAATTGCACTGATGTCTCTTTCATTATCAAGAAGGAGCTTGCGAAAGCCGAAAAAGAAAAGGCTGACTTGCTTCTTTCAAAGCTTGCTGCTGATGAGGACAGACGGAAATGGGAAGAGGAGCTGAAAAATCTGAGGGGTATAGAAGATACGCTTGCTAAGGAAAGAAAGTTAGCTCAGGAGAATTATCAGGTAATTGGGGGAACATATTATAATTGAGAAATACAGGTACTTAACAAAGGGGGCTGAGTCCCAGGCCTGCAATGATCTCTGACTTGGAAGCCCTGTTGTTTACATTCAGGGGGGCTTAAGGCCTTCTGAAAACTGGGACAGAAGAATAGTAAACAGTACTTCTCTGCAAATGCTTGGATTTTTAGTGGGCACCAGAGTCAAGGCTCTAGGACTTTATCTTAAGTGTGTTGTGTGAGAAAGCTGTTCCCACTGATGTAATCATTAGAAGAAGCAATTGGATTTATACCCCACCCTTTACTACCCAAAGGAGTCTCAGAGTGGCTTACAAACTCCTTTCCCTTCCCCTCCCCACAACAGACACCCGGTGAGGTAGGTGGGGCTGAGAGAGCTCTGACAGAAACTGCTCTTTTTCAAGAACAGCTCTTATCAGAACTATGGCTTGCCCAAGGTCATCCAGCCAGGTGTAAGTGGAGGAGCGGGGAATCAAACCCGGTTCTCCCAGATTAGAGTCCGCACACTTAACCACTACACCAAACCTACTTCTAATTGAATTCATGCTGGTTATGCTAATATCCAGAGGTAGTGCAAGGCTATTTGCCATGATTCCCCTGAGATATATCAGTATTGGTTAAAACTACCTTGTTTGGTTTAACACAGATATGAGGTTCAGTTACACTGGATTTTATTTGTGTAGCTCAGGTTCAGAAAATTGTGAGATAAAAAGTGCGTGCACCCTGAGGGGACAGCATGGGGGTGGGGTGGAGCAGGGGAATTGCTGTGAGAGGAGAGACATTGTCAAAAATTGCCCCCTCACCTGCTGGCCGAAGTACCTTAAATAAGGAAAAAATGATGTTTAATTTTCCTTCCATATTCTGCAGAGGAATCTTAACAGACAAAATGATGAACTGAGAAGGGAGATACAGTTCCTTAAAAACAAACTTGCAGCAAAGAAGGCAAAATGTAAAGAACTTGCTCAGATATATAAGGTAATCTGTGTTTTGTCATTTAACTCTGAAAAGGGCAAATGTCTACTTTTCAGTCTGGGGAAGTGTTGAGAATGTGTGCTGGAAGGTGCTAGCATTGGGGTTGCCTGGAGCACAGTGGATCACGGTTTGAAAAGATTTTAAATGTCAAAGCTTTAAAATGGCAAGATTTTTAAAAAGTTTTTCTAGAGTTACACAGGGTTTATTGCCCTGTGGTCAGGATTACGTCATGTGCTCCCCATCCCCCCCCCCCCCCCGAATTTAATACAAGTACACTATGATTAACTTACTATTGTCTTGGGGCTACTGCTGGACTCTAGCTTCATTCTCACATCTATTTGTGACCTCTTGCATTTACGTGCTAATTTGCTGCTATCTATTGATCTTACTGGCCACCTGATCCAATTTCAGCTCTGCATATGCATCTTGGCTCTGAGTGGCCCCTCCTAATGGCTGCCCCCACCCTCTTTTTTCCTGTGAGTAAGCCTTGAGGAGATTTTATTCCATTTGTCTGAAGAAGTGTGCTTTGCACACGGAAGCTTACACTTTGAATAAAACTTTGTTGGTCTTAAAGGTGCCACTGAACTCAAACTTTGTTTTACTATTGTACCATAATACTGCAACATACTATTATTACCATATCTTAAGTGTTGCCTTTTGTTAGTGTTCAGATTGTAGACATAATTGTAGTAATTGTTCTTGACTTCTTACCAGTGCAGAGTTATCTATATAGGCTGTGGTACAGAGGCTAGAGTGTTGGATTCTGACATGAGAATCCCAGGTTCTCATCTTCTCTTAGGCTCCCACTAGATATGATAGAGCAGGTCTGTGATCAGGGTCTCTTGTGGGTTATTTCCTGCTTCTTTCCAGTTCTTTCCTGCTTCTAGGAGATAGAGAGAGAGAGAGAGCCAAGCCTCCTTTCCCATAATTGGCTGAGGGCTCCTCCCCCCCTCC